TGTCTCACATTTTGACAGTGGCTTTGGCTCTTGCAGTCATTCTGAGTTTGAATATTGTTGAATAAATTAAGGGTACAGCAGAGTAATTCTCCTGAGGGTCTTCAATATTATACAACAATTCAGTCTTGTAGAATAGTGACACACAGTCAACTTAAATATTAATAGTTAATCACACACCTATATATTTTAACCATTCCTTTTAATTATTTTGTGGAAAGATAAAAAATAGTAAATGACTATACCTCTAAAATTATCAGTTTGGTCTGACAATGTCAAATTAGTTTAACAGTGTGACCTTCACGCCTCTAGATTTTCCTTTCTCCCCCCATTTCTTGGGGCATAAGACTATCTCAAACCTGTGCCAATAGTACTATCCATTCATAACAGATACTAACTGACCTTGTATTTGACACAGAACTAGACATGTTTAATGGGAAGAAATATCCTACAACTTCTCATTTTCAGTATTCTGTTTTATTCCCAGACTTTTATCTACTGTAATCAAAAGAGAGTTGGCTTTGGAGCCAAAGACCCCTATATAACTCTAGGCAGGTTATCATATCAAAATTCACCGGGCTTTGGTCTTTTCGTTTGTAACATTGTTCTTATAAAATTTAATTAAAATGTAAAATCAAGAGAAATAAAGTAGGTAACACATAGCCATTAATTCCTTTTCCTTGTGCAATTCCTGAATTAAACCCCATCAATATTTAACTGGATGCTTTACCTTCTGGGTCAAGTCAAGAAAAAAGCAAATAGGTAAGAAAGTACCCCATCACTTTTGTCAATATCTCTATGGCTGTCCAGCTTAAATCCCACACCAGCTGAACAGAATCTCTTATCTCTTCTGGAACCCTTAACATTAATTGTTTGAAATACTTATAAAGCTAATTGAGGGCTGCTCTCAGATCTCATTTTTTTAAGTTGATTTTCATGTGAATGTTTTAATTCCACAGATAAACTATTAGGTCCTTGAGGTTAGGAATCTTATATCTCTACAACTATTTAATAATATCTAACATCTGTTTATCTATCCATCTTGTTTAGTAGGTGAATCATTGCTTTACACAGTGCCTTCCCAGAAGGTAGGTTATGGGAGGAGGCAATATTTTTGAGGAACTGAATTTCACTGCCACTAGTTTCAGTCTTTTTCCAGGTATATGCTAATTTCAAATACTTAGACAAATTAATGTGTTTTAATATCCCTGTATGATCAAATTCAGTTATTCACGAAATGCAGTCTTCTAGTTATTACCATGTTGATTCCTCATATCACCTCAAAGAGAATAAAAAATAAAAAATACAACAAAGCCCAGCAATGCCCAATCAGTAAACCCGATGTTGATATCTGTTTAGAGTTTTGTATTTGAAAGAAACTAAATCATAGGTAATATATAACATTCTAGAAATGCCCAATCAGTAAACCTGATGTTGATATCTGTTTAGAGTTTTGTATTCGAAAGAAACTAAATCATAGGTAATATATAACGTTCTAGAAATTTAAAAAA